GATACTCATATATGGTATAGCTTTTTTTTAACAAAGTGAGAGAGGTATCGAACTATGATCGTGATCAGTCTCTGTGATCACGTAAAATGTTTTACATACCTGGATTTCTGCTATCAACGAACTTCATTTAACAAAACTAAAAACAATATTTGAATATTTAAATTATCTTAATACCTTTTCAATAAAGTTGAATAATATGCTTGATAGCTTGATCTAATAACAAAATATGCTTTTTTAAAGAATTTTAGTAAAAAGGGGAAATATTTTTATAGGTGGTCAAATCAATTACAACTAATCTAGTTATGTTCACCTCTTTTGACACTACTTTCAAAATGCTATTATTTCTAAAAGTTTGAAGTTGTATATAATTTTTTCCTGTAAATATTTATTAATTCCATATGAGAAGGAAAACTACCTGATGAAACAATCTTAAGTAGATGTGGAAACAAAAAAATCTCTTTGTAGTAACTGTTTTTTCCGTGATTAGTATTTGTCAATGGTGATAATGGAACAGCAAGAATACAACATATTACTTATAATAATTGCATTATTTAACAATTTCAATACATCAGGTACGTGTTTTCGTATTATTTATATTGAGACATCATTTTTAGTTTTCATTCTGGATATTAAACAAACATGGTAAGTGAACAAAAAAAGCTTGATTGTGCAAAAAAATATTTTGCAGCTATAATAGAATCGAATTCGATGCAAAGTAGAGCAAAAAGTTGTCGGTATTTTATCAAAGGAAAATCATGTCATCATTTTTAGGAGGCGTAAGATAAATCATTTCAAATTTAAAATGAAATTCAATGTAAAATCTGAAATACCGCTGCATACGCACTGTGTTCTGGTAGTAGCTGTAGTCGCCCAGGTGCATCGAGTGTACGAACTGGTCGGTTATACGTCAAATACTAACCTGGCGAGCTTTGCCGTCAATTAGAGAGCGCTTCCAAAAAACAAGTAAACAACAGTGGCGCGTACAGAGGTAAAATGTAGTACATATGTGGAAATTAAAAAACAAATTGGATTTATAATAAATTAAATTTAAAATAAATAGTTTATGAGAATAAAGGAATTTTTGTAAGAACAAGGGTGCCAGACCTGAACTGATCCCCTCGTCCCTTCATAATGTATAAAGAAATTATTCAATTTGTAAAACCGTTAAAAGCGTACTTCATTGGTTCTCTTGACGGACAATGATTTATTACTTTGCATCGAATATGATCCTACTATAGGTGACAAAAAAAACTCCCTTTATCAACAGAAAATTTAACGACTTTTGATGACAGATTTCGAAAAAGACACTTTTCGTCAATATTACACCGTATGGTTTAATCGAATACTTCTTTTTAGTTACTCAAAGTTGATATATTTTTATAATTACTCATTTTTAGAAGAATTTTTAGCTATACAAATTACCCCATAAATGTGTATTGTTTAATTACTGGCGCATTCGCCATTTTCAAAGTCAAAATAATTTGTCTAATAATAATTAGGACTAAACATACACTTTTCTGTATCATATATTGAAGTGAATATCATATTGTTGAAGTGAAAATTGAATTAAAACTGAAGAGTTTTCCATAACAAATTCACAATTTTTAAAGTTTAGAGTTTAAATCACTTTGATATTAAACTTATTCTGTCTATTCTAATCGAAACCACTTCAATGTAAAATAATTACCAAATAATGCAATTAATTGTTTACACAAACCACTTTAATGGAAAACTTATTAATAATAAGAAACACGGAAGTCAATCGATCAATGTAGAGTATATTTACGTTTACGTACTATAAATATATTAAGCCGATTCAAATTAATTTTAAATTTTATATCAAAACGTCATGTTGTATACTTTATATTAAATATCTAGGTTTGCTAAAGAAATAATAAGCTGGTCATTAATTCATTGTATATGATGCTTTATCTTAGGAACCTATTCGAATAAAGATTATTGTTAAAATGACTCGGTAAGCAAGCTCTTAATTATTATTAACTATTAAAATAAAAATACTGTATTCAAATTGGAATGAAAATCATACACCTACCATTATAAAAATCAATAAATAATGTTGCAAATCTTCAAAGAAATATTAAACATTATACGAAAACTCACTGGAAAAAATTAAAGGAACAAAAATATATCATGCATTTTTTAATAATTTTGGAGAGGCTGTATTTCAGTAAAAAATGGTCGTGTCGAGATAAAGAAAAAACATTTTGAAGCTTGAAGTTTCTATTATTTCAATCAATGTAGGTGTCAGTAAGCTTGTTTAATCAGCTTTAATTTGCTTTTTGTTTTTGAAAAGTCTCCGTACGACAATTTTTTACCGAGATATTGATGATTAAATGACAAATTACATTTTTATCGTTAATCATCGATATCAGCAATAAAGGATTACACGGTAAATCCAAGGGCGGTTTTGAAATCCTTAATAAATTCTCTACGAGGATCTATTATTATTTTCCAAAAATGTTTTATCATCCTTGACATTAATTTGAAAAAAATGCAAACAAAAAACTTTTCCAGTTTTTTAGAAAATCAATAACTTAAAAACATTGACGAAAAGAGTAAAAAGCAAAGACATTTTTATAGTTCAGTGTACCCACAATAACCCTGCAAATTGACAAGTCGTTCCATCCAACCGTTTTTCTGTTCGAATTGACCAAAGTTTTGGAAAGAATTAAAGGAACACTTATTATCTAAATGAAAAAGAAGAATTTTTCTCGCCTTTTCCACAATTTTACATAAGATATCGTTTAAATTTAAGAAAAAACAAAAAATATATATTTTTTTCCTTTTAATAAAAATAATAATAGACATTTATTTCCAACAGGTATACATACACACAATTCCATAAAAAGCATGACAAACGAAAGATGAAAATAAAAAAAATCATAAAAAAAATACAAATACAAAACAAATTTAAATTATTAATAGATGTCGATGTGCTTAAACAAACATAATAGCAGTAAATCTACATGTTCAAAGAAGTAAGAAATATCACATTCGACATAAATTGCATTAAAATTGCTAGGCATTATATGTACCGGTGATTTCATCAAAAGGTTGCTGTGAGATGTATGCACCACAAGAAGGCGGTCATACCTACTTTCAAATCTACTAAATAATATAAATATGCCAGTTACTCACTGCAATCAATTCGATCATGGATATTATTACATAAAAATCTTACTGCCATAATTCTTCGTCCTAACTCTAAAGAAAACATATTAAATCTGTTAAAATTGTATTATCAATTACTCTTTAAAAGCTAAGTATTTTAAAAAACGTCTTTAAGCTGATACAATAACATCAATGTAACGGTTTTATAGTGGATACCAAACAAGAATACAATATTCTAGCTTAGACCTAACCAGAGAATAAAAAAGAATTTTTAGAGCATAAGTATTTCTAAATGATCAGGTATTTCTCATTATAAATAACAGTCATGAATACTATTTATTTTACTGTAAAATTTAAGATCATCGGCGAAACAAAGTTGGCATTTAATTAAATTGGCTAAATTATTAATGAAAATCAAATATAACAGAAGTCCCAAGTTGAACCCCTGTGGAACTCCTGTATTTACGTTATAAACATAGGATTTAAAACCATCATACATACATTATTTTCTGCCAGATAATTATGACTAATAAACATTGCAAAAAACCCATACATTCGAGTTTAGAAAGAAAAATGTAATGGCCAATCTGATCAAATGCCTTTTGAAAATCAAAGTAAATAACAACCTCTTGTTTATCAAGAAATTCACATAAATATTGTGTTAAGCAAGCTAAATTTGTCATACAAGATCTTTTTTCCATAAAGCAATGTTGGTCAGGTGTCGCATACATTTTAAATATTGGGTAAATGTAATTGGTCGAGATTATCTCAGAGTTTTGAAAAATTACACAACAATCATATAGCCCTTTTGGAAAAGTTACTGGACAATATTTTATCTTTTCTGTCAAAAAAAATTTACAGTTTACAAAAACTTTTGTTTATTTTTTATTTTTTATTTTTCGAAAAAAGAATAGGAACGACTAGATATTGTTTTCTCAAATGCCCAGCAACTTTTCCATAAGAAAAAATATAAAAATTTTTGTTCTCTTCTTTCTTCTTAAATTTAAACGATATATATGTAAAATGATAAAAAAAAGTCGAGAAAAATTCTTCTTTTTCATTTTGATAATGATAACATAATATTTAAGAGCAATAAACGAGGTCCTTTCCAAAACTTTGATCAATGTATCCATTGTAATTATGGATACATTGAACGTACAAAATATATCTTAACAATAGTCTTTTCATCGATTAAATTAATTGTAAATTAGCAGTAAAATTACCAAAAAAACTACAAAGTAGGTACTTTTTGCATTTTTTCAAATTGTCAAGGATGAAAAAAAAAATGTTCTTCGAAAACCATCTTTCTAGAGAGTTTAATCCAAAACCACCCTTAGATTTACTGTGCAATAATTTGTCGCCGAAATATCGATGATTAAAAACAAAAGTGTCATTTTTCAGTCAGTCCGTGTACAGTTCAAAAACAAAACAAAATTTGAAAATTTCGAGCTATTTCTTTAGATTCCTCGTTAATCATAATTCAAAAAAAATATTTTTCAAAAGAACTTGAAACTAGAGTTAAAAACTTCTAAATGGTTTTTCTTATCTCGACCATTTTTCCACGAGATACAGGCTTTCAAAAATCACTAAAAGATTTATGAAACATTTTTAGTCCTTAAATTTTTTCCAGTAGTGTATATCATTCCTGCAATATGACATCATATCCTATTACATTTTAAAAAAATGTCCCAACTTGCATGACCAAGTAGCTATTTGTCACATTATTTTTATTAACTTACTATTTCATTAAAAATCCTGATTTAGTAATAGAAAAGCAAATATGTATTAGCAATCAGTAATATAGCAACATAAGTACTTTGTTAAAAACGTTTTCGATGAACGTTATGACAAAATAGACCACCACTTACCTGAAGGCTTTCATCGTCTATCGATAAACTAGTATCCTCTACAAAATTTTCCTTCGATGCGTCAAGAACGACCATATTAATAAAACACGCGAGACTGTACGTGTTACGTCCCACCAAGAATACACCAAACTATCCATATAAAAAGGATTGATTGGTGGGAGATGAAGAATTAAGCCAGTGAATAAATTGAGCGTCGTCAGGTTGTAAAAAGCATGCATGTGTGTTATGTCAGGCGCCCACAAATGTCTGAATTTATCGGATCTAGATCAAATTATCGCGTCCGTTATTATGAATGAATCCAATGAGAATGACTCATGGGTCTTATAGATGTTTTTCATTCGCAGTTATTTGTTTGAATAGAATATACCAGTACTTACTGCAGAGTTTATGTACCCACTTAAATATTTGTACTAATACAGGGGGTTTTTCTTAGATGAAAAAGGTCAAAGATGAAAAAAAAAACAGTTTTTCCTCAATATTTTTTTATATACCGGGTGTTACGAAGTTCGCGAACACGGACTATGGAATCATGTTAAGCTAGATAATGTCATAAAAAAATGTCTCTATCATTTTTCAGTCAGACCGATATTTTTCGAGATACGGCAGTTTTAAATATCCAAAAATAATAAAAATTTTCAATTATTAATCATTTGATAAACAATTATGACAAACGAATTGTTCAAAATTTCCACCACCTGCTGCTAAACATGCTTCAGTACATTGTGCTACAGCTCGAATGGAGTTGCGTACCTACTATCTCTGACGTTATTTGTTGTATTGTTTGAAACTGACAGCTCTATAACAGTTAATGACAATTCAAAAAGCATTTATCAATACTTTGACATCGTTAGAGTACAGTAAAAGTACCTGTCAATACAAACTGCAAAATAATAGGCCACAATTATTCAAATCGTGAATAGTATGATATGTTGATGGCTCTCGGAGTTTCAAATAATCGTGCAGGTGAAGCAGTGCGGTTGGCTTGGCAGAGGCGATCCATTTGCTTGACCACCTCGTTGTCCAGACCTAACGCGATGTGATTTTTTTATTTTGGGGCTTCTTAAAAACGTTGGTGTACAGAACAGTGTACAGTGGCAAATTTGAATGAATTGCAGAACCGCCTATTTCAATCAATTCAGCAAATAACACCAGAGGTGATACACAACTCCATTAAAGCAGTAGCACAATGTGCTGAAGTATGTTTAACAGCAGACGGTGGAAATTTTGAACAATTGTTGTAACTCGTTTGTCGTAATTGTTTATTTAATGATCGAAATTTGAAATTTATAAATATATACATATTTTTAATATTTTTGAATATTTGATACTGCTATATCTCGAAAAATATTGGTCTGATTGAAAAATCATAAATACACTTTTTTATCACCTTATCTAGCTTAATATGATCCCACAGTCCGTGTCCGCGAATTTTGTAACACCCGGTATACTATGGATAGACAAGGGATTTCCAGTCGACGTTCTGTATTTAGATTTTGCCAAGGCTTTGATAGAGTCCCGAAAAACAGGCTACTGTACAAATTAGAAAATAATGGAATACGGGGCTCATTACTTGCCTGGATAGATAGGTTCCTTACAAATCGAACGTTTTCAGTACGAGTTGGCAAATCACATTTGGAATCTCAAGTAGTTCTTTCTGGGGTACCGCAAGGCTCTGTTCTGGGACCAATCCTATTTTTGGTATACAGGCTGTTACAAATTCGCTTCTCGGGATCTCAGAAACGGTAAGAGGTACGAAGTAGCTTAACTGGGGGCAAAGTTGCGTAATCAGGGGACCAACATTATGCCTCTAAAAAATCAAAGCTAACATGATTAGTTTTTGAAATATTTGAAAAAAAACGAAATTTTGGAAATCCGTTTTTGTTTCATTTCAGCCTTGTTTGAGGTGATATTGAAAAAAGGAAAACACTTTCTCATGGCCACTTTTTGCGCTCTATTGAATGGCATAATCAACTTTTATATGTAACGTTTCGTCTCTCCAGGACCATCATCAACTTCATTTTTTCAAATACCACCCTATAAATTTTATTACATTTTTTGCAAGCCTTCATGACCCCCAATACTGTAATACCTTAGCCCGAACCAGATTCAGACGTTTTGTCTCAAAAAAATCATCTTCAGTGTATATTCGTTCCAAATTTATCTAATTTTTTTATTTAAATTTCTTTGTTTATTGAATTATCGTACACTGTAAGTGTCGTTAGACCCTGTGAAATCCATCTATTCAAATATTTCGAAAACTTATCATGTTAGCCTTGATTTTTTAGAGGCATAATGTTGGACCCCCTGATTACGCAAATTTGTAACAGCCTGTATACAGCTAACCTCTCACTAAAGCTCAAATCAGACTCTACAAGATGATATTATTTGTATCACAATAGATAGAGTGATTTCATTAGCTTGACACTGTGGTGTGAGGTGTGAGGGTACTATGTTAGATTCCGTTATATGGATATACCCTTAGTAGGCAGCCATAGCGACACACCGCAATAAGCACCAAATTGCAGTGCTAAACAAATGTAACCATTGAAAATGCGTGTAGCCACAACGACGCACCACATCTCGCCTCGCACCAGAACTTGGACCAGAGCAACCCACAGCACTATATTGAGCTTAGTACAAAACATACAACATGGCTTATTAATTCTGGCACCCTCGCACAATGCAAGTTAGCGAAACTAATAATAAGCAGTAAAAACGAAATCTTTACAAATGTATTCCTACGATGAAAATGAGGAAAAGGCGTTTATATGTGCATTTCAGAAAATCTAAGCAAGATAGAAACAACATCTCTTCACTGTACCAGTTATATAAGTTTTCTTCTGACAATACTTTCAAAATAGGGAAAAAACATATTTTTACCTCGCATGTTTATCTTATGTTTTATGAATTTTGCACGCCTGTTGAATATACAGAAAATCGCTTACGGTACTATAATGGTCCAGTCATTGAAGGTAAAATACGGCGTTACTGTATAATTTTCCCAAACAGCACCGATTTGCACCAACATTTGGATTTAGGTTCTACTTACCCTCTACTTCAAAGTTGACCCTGTGCCGGGAGTTGCTTGTTATTTTTTAGGGGTGAAAACTACCGAATTGTAGATTCGAGCGTGTAATAAGTTGAAACCATCTTTAAATAAGTAATTATGATGAACTGAAAATTTCCAATCCATAAAAACCACCCCCTATGACAGTAATCATTAAAAAATAATGTTGAAAAATATTATTCAGCAACTTGGAATAATTTAATCAAATAGGGATATTAAATTAAGATTTCTTTACTGTTTGGTAAAGCAAAAAAACCCTTGCAAAAAAATCGAACAATTATAGTAAAAAATTTTTTTTTGTTCATTCAAAATATAATACAATCTTTTTATTATTTAAAATGTAATGTATTTATTTATTTTCAAACCTTAAAAAAAACCTACTGATTAAAATTTGCAATCAAAAATAGGGAAAATAAGAATTTTATTTTTATATGGATTTTAATTTTTTTATTTTTATAACAAAATTT